AATATCGAGTTATCGCAAATGTTTCAATAAGAGTAAGCTTTCATAGTTTCTTCGATTCTGAGCTTATATCGAAAGCGAAAGCTAGCGTATTCAGGCGGAAGTGCACATTTTTTCGCTTAATTCTGAGAAGTCGAACTCTAAGCTCGATGTTTTAAGGGTTTTKAATTATATTTCTTAAARTTCAGAATTCKCAAGACATTCTTTCCTCTACCAACCTTCTTCTTCATCGAAGATCACAASAGCTTTGCCATCTTCCAWCATCTTGGCGTCTTCGACTTCTCCTCCGCCATTGCTTKYCTTTTGGAAATGAATGATSAAATYTWCTTCTTTTGTCCCCGGTGGAACATTTGTAATAAGCACACTTTTCTTTCGCTGGGTTTCATCTAGACCTGTGTCTGGTTCTCCAGCAAAAGGAATATCAGGACTTTTACGGCTTGCCATTGCGCAAGCTTCCCCGAAAATGCGAGCAAAGCGCTTCAAGTCATTCCTGGAAATCAGAACCGCAAGGACTGGAGAGAGAAAATGAACGTGACATCGCAATGGCATCGCGTGACATACAGAAAGGGGAAATCCCATTACGTAATGTCATGCATATTTATGTGGGGAGTATTTTGGATGGCAAAAAATAACCTGATTTGATAGTTGAAATTTCCCTCGCATTATCAAWATTAAAAGGAAAGCAGAAAAAAATAGAAAGCGACAAAAAGGGGTTCAATTTTACCGCTTGTCAATAAATGTGGACAAAAAAACAAAAAAACAACAGCAAACAAACAAACTTATTACAGTTTTGATGCAGAGCTTTACTCAGATATCTTTCTATTATCTTTCCTTCGCAATATTTGCCTTCTGTTTTCGCTTATCTTTACTTTATTATTTTTACAAACTCTATGGAATTGCTATGATCTCTGAGATATATATTATAGGTTATTTTTAACACATATTGTTTCAGTTAATCTTACCTTACGTCATTATTGAGTTCTGAGAAATGTTGGGGTCGGGGATTCTCGGAATTTTGTCTAAATGTCGATCATGACACTTCCGGTTATATCAAGAATCGGGAAGGTTTTGCTTCGTTAGCACTGTCTACACCATTAAAAATCCTTGCCGTTGAAAAATAATGTTATTTTGAAGCTGATCATGGMGGGGGATGGTGTTTCTAATATCACTGATGGACCAGACATTGATGAAGATAGGGTTTATCGTACGGTTCTCGTCAAATCGTTGCCTCCATCGACAAACAAAAGAAATCTAATGATTCACTTTCAATCTCGTAAAAATGGCGGAGGAGATATTGAAGACTTAAAGCTTCTTGATAATGGTTCTGCAGTCATAACCTTCGAAGAAGAGAAAGGTTGGTTTGGAATTGTAATGCTATTGCTTTGCTATGAATTGATCGAGGCTTTGAAAGCGATTCAACTACTGGTGCAAAGGGTTGCGATTCGCGAGTGAAGTCTGTCTGTTTACAGTCAAACCTGAGCTCATGCCGCCGTCGTTCCTATCAAGGTTGAAAAATTCATTTCATTATTCGAAGTTTGATTTCTATCATGCTTTGAAGCTTGCATTCATGTAACGAACGTTGAGAATTCAGTTGAATTCTGGGTTCTGATTAAAAGTTTATTTAGTTCCCCCGGGGGGGGGGGGGGGGAGGACTCCCTTATGAAAGGGGGCGGGGTCCTCGTTGTCCCTTTTAGGGTTTGAAATTAGGGTTTCGGTCCCGGTTAGGGTGATAACGACGGGAATGCGCATCAACTGCATTTTGTGGTCCCTTTAAGGGTATAAGATCTACAAAAAGGCAAGCGATTTTTATATGACAACGTCGTCATAAATTCGTAAATTCATAAATTCATAAATTCGAGCAGACAGCGTTTGATGCAAATAAAATTGAGAAACCAAACAAAAAAAATGCGTTATTGATTGGTCCCTCTTAGGGGTGAAATTTCATCACTGCCACGCCCATCATCCCAAAACACAGGTCCCTCTTAGGTGTCATTTTCAGAATTTCCGACGAGGACCCCCGCCCCCTTTCATAAGGGAGCCCCCA